CCCCCCCCCCCCCCCCCCCAAAGCTTCCCCAAACTCGATCCCACATCCGGGCCCGAAGAGGGCTCTCTCACAAGCAACTGCAGCTAAAGCTTCATTGGTGCCCGAGATAGAAGTTAATAAGTTAGGATTTGAGGGGCAGGGCCTTTTCTCCGAGAGCTAGATCAATAGCGTGATGACGACGATGATGACGACAACGACCGTCATGATGACCGCTCCGAAAATGTAACGTTGGAGGGGAGTAAGTTCCCGTACACCTGTGCAGCTTCTGGCCAGGCGTGCCCCCCCCCACAACTATAATAGGCTAGAGTATACTGTAATATGCTATAGGCAAGAGCATACTATAACATACAATAATAAGACATGACCGGTTGAATGGACGAGTCGGATGACTCTACAAACCTATGCAAGTATGATCTGCGCTATGGCCGCCTGCAAAACAGATGGACAAGAATCAGCAAGGGCCGCACCGGCTGGTCCGCAGAGCCACACGAAGACTCGGGTTTATGCCTGTCTGTTAGGGTTTAGGATTTAGGGCTGCGACATGTGGCGTAACGTACTTCACAGCTCTTCTTCGTGCGAGCCCGTGAACAATTTGCACGTGTCTTCCTTTTCGGCAAGTCTAGAGGAAGAGATGCGCGTATGCGTACGTAGACATATGCATTTATACATACAAAGAAATAAGATAACTATGTATTTGTACACACATATATACGTATATATATATATATATACACATACATATGTACATACACAAATACATATACACATGAAATTCATGGCGAGATTGCCTGAATAACCAGAATAGGGTTGGCGCCCATTATACTATAGTTACAATAAGGAACCCCCCAAAATAGTATAGGTAATTATTCAGCCCCTACTTAGGCTCCGACCCACAGTGCTCTCTCTGTTACTTCACACGGTGTAGGGTTTTGGGTTTAGGCTTGGGAATAGGGTGTGGGGGGTATACTATACCATAATCTTTAATGCTGAACACCAAAATATTAGTGTGCTTGTTTAGGCCCCTGAAGCCCCACAGAACAACCAGAGGGCTACAGTGTGCGAGTGCATGGGTGCTGTGTGCGTTCCTTGCTTCTCCTACTGGGCGATGTATGTCCCATGGCGACATCTTGCGTGGACAGTTTTGGCAGCATCCCCGTCTTCCCAATATTAGCACACAGGGCGTCAACAGTTAGGAACGTGGGTTGCCGACGTGAAGCCAGCTGATCAATGGCCTCTTACGCACATCCACATCGGGTCATATCACTTGAGACCACGCCTCATCCGTCTCTTCTGCAACTGGTGGTACTGCAGGCACCTGCAGACAAGACCCAGCAAACCGGTTGGCAAGCATCGAACCTGCAGGAAGTAGTGCGAAGAGAATCAGCGTTTGAGGTGGTACTAGCTGTGCATTCTGAGCATGGCACCGCCAATCTCTGCGGACATCAAACTTGCCCAACCGAGAGACCCATATGCAGCAGCCACATATGTGTGATGCCAAAGGGAACCTTGTCTTTGGAAGCTGACTCTCCGACCTGACGCACGTTGCCAGGGTGTGGCTGCAAGCTTAAGATGAAGCTGTTCGCATGCATGTATGCAAGCTGCGCATATGCATGCGGTTTAGGGTTTAGGGTTTAGGGCATCAGATACATGAATGCTCCGGAGTCCAAGCTGCCAACATGCAGGGAAGTCATGGAAGACTGCATCTAAATTCAACCAAACTGACCTCCAATTCCTCAACTCGAGCTGTGATGCTGCTTGGCTGGGCTGCATATCATTAATATCAAAGTATGACCTGATCATCTTGGCGTTGTTATTCTCATCTCTGAAGCGCTGGTCACTGGTTGGTTCAAGGCACCGTGCGACAACGCATGTCACGTCTACGACCAGCAGCAGGCATGCACGACATGAAAACTTGTCACAGGTTCCTGCTCCGTACCGCTTCGTTCATGAAACTCACAGCTCCTGCTTGGTTTGTTCCAAGGATCTCCAGACTAAATATCATAGCATACATTATATTGTTGTAGTGCCAGGGTAGTGCTTGGATCTTTTAGTGTGGTACTGAATCTGAAGGCAGGCTCTTGTCTACCTAGGAAGCAGAGGATGCTAGCATCCTGCTGGTCCAGATGTCTTATATAGAACATGCAATAAAGTAGTGGGAAGCATCATCATTCTTCTCTTCCTGAGCGGATACGTAGAACGACAGAACTTGTGCTACTATGGCAAGGAGGTTTTTGGGACACTTGACAGCACATGGTCGGTCATGCAGAAATCACAGACTTGCTGCAGGAGCCTTTGCTGCAGTCTGCAATCCAGGTGCTACTGCCTGACAGTCCGGCGCTTGTGCTCTCAGTGCGGGAAACAGAGGCTAAATGTTCACAGCATCCACACAAATCTTGTCTGGGACCAGTGAAAGGCCAGCGTTTACTGGTGTCCACAATGGTCAGCTGACGTTCAGGGAGAAACGACTCACGAATCAGGCTGCTCTGCCAAAAATCCCTTGCTACTGAGAGCTTGCCGCACGCACCCCGAGTGCATGAAAGTCATAGCGTCATAGCATAGTAATAATGGTAATAAGCACAATCATAATAATTTTAGTAGCAAAAAACAATAATAAGAACAATACGAACCATAATCATAATAATAATAACAAGAATATAATCAATAAGAGTAATAATAAACAAGAAGCATAATTCTGCGAACTCCGGGCAGCCGGGGCCTCGATGCCAATGCCGGGAGGAGCCGATATGCCCGGAGGCAATGACTGGGGCGAGCTTAGGGTTTAGGGTTTAGG